TAGGAGTTTGAGATGCTGAAGACCCAGGAACAAAACTCATTTGAGAACTCTTTTTAGGCCCAAATACCACCATTAATTCACAGTAAGTGCTCATTAAATATTCCCCTTTTCAACATAATCTCCTTTTTTTTCCCATGGGTAGAAATGGCTTACTTGGTAAAGCCAGAGATAGTAAACCAAGCAAAGTATAGCTAGGGAAAAGAATGAATCAAAATGTGTCGGCAACCTATTGTCACTCTTATCAACTCTTCTCTTCAAAATATTTGACCTAAAACTATGATGTCTCTCTCTGCTGTTCCTCCTGTAAAGAAGAGCTGTTTGGCAATGTAGATTCTGTACTGGAGAAGGTAAAGGAACAGAGAGACATCCTGAAGAAAGTGATGTCAGGACTGCACTTCCAAGCAAGACCAGCTTGTGCACTGTAAGGAGACACACAATATCACCACCTCTAGATACTTTGCCTCCCTGTCTTGCTGTTGTTCTGTTAGATACCTATGTGGCAGGTTGGAGAGTTGAGGGACTTTGTCATTCACACATTGCCCAGAATTCATTCACCAAGCTGGCTTATTTTCCCTTCTAGCACCTAAATAAAAATTGGTTGCACTAAATAAGTGCAGGGTTTGAGGGGGAAGAGGAGAGAAGGTAATGGAACACCCAATGAGAGGAAGAGGCTGGCTCCACAGCCTGTAGTTGTACAAAGAGAAGCAGAGTCAGGGTAGGCATAGGTTAGACCTTGGGAGGTGAGATCAAGTGCACCAAGTACTTAGAAAGAATAATTGTTTCCTTCATCAACACTGGCTTGGCACTTGCTCCTAGATCCTATATCATTAGTAGAGCAGCTATTCTATCTATAAATTATAAATAAAGTAAATGTTCTAGACTAGTCAGGATCCCACCTATTCTTGGAAATATTGTTGTATGTAAGTAAGTATGTTTCTAATAACAAACAGCCGATTTAAGTATGAATTTGTAAAACCAAGCCTGGTCTTCAAATTGATTTTTGTGGTATATCTAAAATTTCTAACAGCTTGTTATGTTCAAGTTTCAGATAACCAAAATGGGCTTCTTTTGTTTTCTTTGCACATGCTTTGTTGTAATTGAATCACAAATGTTTAAATGCATTTAAATGCAGATCAGGAAATACATAATCAACTCCAGTAAAATTATATTTGATTGAAAGTCAAGCACGATATTTGTTTATTCATTCATTTATTATATGATGAAACACTTATCTCTGTGTGACTTGGCTTTTATGTGGGCAAACAGGAAAGAACCAGAAATAATCAAAGGCTTTTACTAATTCCTATGTGTTATGAATGCTGCTGTGTTGAATAATGCATACTGAAAATCAGGATTAAATGCCTTATCCCAGGCTGGGCGCGGTGGCTCATGCCTATAATCCTAGCACTTTGGGAGGCCGAGATGAGAGGATTGCCTGAGCCCGCGGGTTCGAGACCAGCCTGGGCAACTTGGAGAGACCTCATCTCTACAATAAATAAAAAAATAATTAGCAGAGCATGGTGGTGAGTACCTGTAGTTCCAGCTACTTGGAAGCCTGAGCCCAGCAGGTCAAGGTTGTGGTGGCCGGGAGTGTGCCACTGCCCTCCAGTCTGGGTGACAGAGTGAGACTCCAACTCAAAATAAATAAATAAATAAACAAACAAATAAATAAATAAACAAATAAATAAATAAATGCCTTACCCCAAATTGAATCCCAGGAAGATTAAAGGTTAAATGTTTTCGAATAAATCAAGTAGATGATTTTTAAAAATTCAAGATCTATCAAACTTGAGAAGAGGATAATTAAACCTTATTACTCTTGAAGAAATCACCTATTAGAAAGAGTCAGGCATTATTTTCTAAAAATACAAAACAATTGTTTATTTTTAGAATAAGGCAAGCAATTCGAAAAATAGCTATAACAAATACTATATACATAGGTGAATGCTTCACAGGCAAAGTAATTATCTTTATTATATAAAGAACTTATACCAAGCATGTACAGACACATACACACACACACATACACACACGGGGAGACCCAGAATATCTGAAATTTATTCATAAAAAATTGTGTATTTATTCTTACATGTTTAAATTTCAGTTACCTTCAAAGTACTCTCCATTTGATGCAATACACTTATCGAGATGCTTTTTCCACTCCTCAAAGCAGTTTTTGAACTAATCAAATTTGATGCCTTTTAGTACTTCTGCCATTTTTTGTTTCACCTCTTCCACATCGGCAAAACATTTCCCCTTGAGAACTTTTTTCATCTGGGGAAACAAAAAAAAAGTCTCTCAGGGTGAGATCAGGTGAATAGGGAGGGTGGGGCATAGGATTCATTCTGTTCTGGGTAGGAAAAAACCTGAACACTCAGCACAGTGTGGGCAGGTGCATTGTCAGGGTGGAAGAACCAGTCAACTGGTTTGCCACAACGTGGGACATTTTTCCCACAAATTGTGATGCAACCTTCTCAAAACTTCCAGATAAAAATGTTAGTTGACTGTTGCACTGAAGGAACAAATTCCTAGTGTACTAGGCGGCATGCCCTTCCAAACATAATTCCAGGTTTTTTGTCCCCCTTTGTACATGCATAAACTCATAAACTATTAGAATCTAGTAGATGCTTGGAGAAAATACAATTAGAATAAATGCTCAACATCACTTAGATGTTAAGTAAATACAAAATAAAACAAAAATATATACTATTACCTACCACATTAGCTTGTTTTAACAATCTTTTTGAGCTAATGCTTTGCTCCTAGGGTTATAAGAAATAAAGCCTTATTTACAAGTGGGTCACTAAGCTGGGTCAACTAATGGTGAAAGCAATTTGATAACAATAAGGTTGAAAAATGCTAAACAACCTAAGCATTTGACAACGGAAGGGGAATTAAATAAATCCTGATACAATCAGTGATTATTATCATGAGACCCAAGAGTAATGTTTATGGTAACCGTGGATCGAGGTCATCATATCCTTCAAGGCACTGGTTCTTTTTCTTTAAAACTACAAAATATAACTAAATAACTAAAACTAAATATATTTTTAGTATAAAACAGGTTTCATATATTCATCATGGTGTTCTTCATTAAGGTTGAAAAATGCTAAACAACCTAAGCATTTGACAACAGAGGGGGGAATTAAATAAATCCTGATATAATCAGTGATTATTATCATGAGACCCAAGAGTAATGCATAGAAAAGTATATTCTGTGTGTTTTCATGTATTTCACTATGTATTGGAATATTCTGGAAAGATATTCATGGAAGAACTAATAGTGGATGCCTTTGCTCTGAAAAGAGGCAGGAAATACTTAAGGTGGTTAACAGCATGAGATCTGAGTCCAAACTGCTTGAGTTTAAATTCTAGGTCTGTCACTTGATTATATTTGATCTTGGGCAAATTTTAACTTTACTGTAATTAGGTTTCTCTGTCAGTAAATTGGTAGTAATATAGTACCTCCTTTCTGGGGTTGTTGGGAGGATTAGATTTGCTAACACAGGTAAACACCAATAACAAGGCCTAGCATATAGGGAGAGCTCAGTAAACATTAGCTATTTGCTGTGTTTCTTTGAGTGATAGTATCAGTATGGGTAGAGTTTTGCTCCCACTTTTCTGCACTTTCCAAAGCAACTTTTCTTTCTTGAGCATATTACTATTACACTGGGAAAAAGCAGTGAATGTTTTCATAAAGGCTCTAAGAATTGGGTCAGCTGGATTTTCTAGTACATAGATTCAGGCTCTTATTAGAATATGCAGGATAGAGTCAAAGAAGGAATACATCATAGTTGATGAGACCCAAAAATTGAAACTGGAGTTGCAATGACGATTGAAATGAACTTTGTGTCCCATTTCATAAGAGAAAAATCTCATTCCATAAGAAGACAGTTCAGTTTCTGCAAAAGACTGTTTGCCTCCTTTGGAAAAACTTGTATCTATCTACCCAGTATTCTCCCCTCCCCATCCCCAACCTCTAGCTTCTAGTTAACTCAGTACTGGACATGTTCTTTTCTCTATAACTTATATGAACTTTTTTTAAAAAATGGAATCACACAGTTCAGTAAAAATAGCAGGGCAAAAAATTGTAAAACTATTTATGATATTGGAATAAGTAAATTTTTTTTGGCAAGGAAAGTAAATTAGGGAAAGGAAAAAGGGAGTAAATTTATACCTTTATTAATACTAATACCTTTCTGAACATTTCAAAAGGTATATTAGATAATTTGATTTACATGTAAAGTTGTCATTCTAAAAATATTTTAAAGCTTCAGGAGCAGAAAGAAAATTAAGGGGGAAATTGCTTTCTCTTTCCCCTATATTTCCCCAAGTTTTCAGAGAAAAATTTGGGAGAAAAGGCTCCGCTCATTTTGGAGTCTTCTCTTGCCAGCAACTAACAAGTCTGTACAATACAGTTGCCAAGGCAATGTCAAGACCATGTAGACAGAGGGAGAAAATGTGGTGTGCAGACAGGGAGATGATGAAAATGGATTAACAATGTGAACACAAAGGGTTTTTCTAATTGGAAAAAAATAAAATCACACTACCCTTTATAAGCGGTTATGCTAGCAATGCTAACATCTCTTGTTATAAAGGAACTTCATTAAAATAAGGCCTTCGTTTTTCCCATATCACCTTGCTCATGAATGCATGATTTGTTTCCTAATTATGCCCCAATCTTTGTAACTCCATTCTGAGCCATGTCACAAAATGGGTTCCACTGCATTCAAGCTGGACAGAGGAATTTTTCATTTGCTTATACCACAAACATTTCTTTTCTATAAGTCCTACTTAAAGCCCAGGATTCAGTCAGATCCTTCCAGATATAGACTGCAAAGTTGGATGCACACCTCGCTCCCAAAGCAGCATAAATATTTGCTGCTTAATTAAATACAACCACGAGTTAAATACTTGCTCATTTTCCTAAGACTGTTGCTTCACTTTCATAAAAGACTCAATTTTTGTCTTTCTTTTCTTTTTTTTTTTTAAATCTTCAGGTACAATCCTTGGATTTGCGCTCCGACCGTACAGAATGAGCTACCGGGAAGTCAAGTACTTCGCCTTTCCTGGGGAACTTCTGATGAGGATGTTGCAGATGCTGGTTTTACCACTTATCATCTCCAGTCTTGTCACAGGTACCATCTGCAGTTTTTTTGTTTGTTTGTTTATGTGTTTGTTTTTAAGTGTGCTTATTGGAAAAGATTGCTTAGAAAAGCAAACGCTTTAGGTTTCTGCTGGATGCATGCTCTGTTCTAGAAAAAAAAAAGTCCCTTCAGAATGATGGAAAGGAGGCTTTAGTAATGCATGAATGATTATAACTCTCGTATTTTACCAATCACAAGAGGAATCGGATTTAAACAGCCATGTAATCTGGTCCGCCTCACCATGAACGAGGTGCCCTGCTAAACACCACACGATCAGCCTTCTCTGACCACAGTGATGTAGTTGACAACAGCGTACAACAGGTCTGTTTTCTCACCCTCTTATCCCACCCAGATAACATCTGGTTGGACAGCCTATTAGCTATTGATGCAAGAATGCTTGTTCTCAGAGCCACCAGGACTTGAGCGGGAGCCTTCTTGGAAGCCTCATCAAGAGGTAATGCCCACAACACACTCACCAACTCTGCTGCCACCAACACTGTATCTTTTCCTGGTGTACCCGCATGATTTCATTTCCTTCTCCAGTTGCCCCCCCCACCGCCACCCCCGTTGCCTTTTACGCTGGTGGGAGAAGGGGGAGGGGGTGGGAGATCTCCCCCTCTGAATATTTTCAGTGGACATGTGGATTTTTCAACAAGCGGAATAGGATTCTGTTTTCTGTGACAGTGAGGTAACAATTTATTCCTGCATGGGAAAAGGTTAAAGAGTCATTGGTGTAATGGATTGGTGAGTACAGATGGAGCCAAGAAGTTGCAGAGAAATGTTACTATACGTTCCTTCCTGCCCACTTTTCTCTTTCCCCACAGCACATCTCTGATTTGGAGAAGGAATTTCCATAGACTCTGCCCCAGCAGGATGGTTTCTGGGTTTGTAGCTAAAGCTCAGAACTCAGGTATTACTGACCCTGTTCTTTCTTCCACCCTGGGCTCATTTCCCCCTCTTAGGCAGACCACTCTGCCTCTATGTAGGCTGGCTCTGAGCATCCTTCCCCCCTTCCAGGAAGTTCAACTCTCATTTCGCGTTCTCTGTGTAATGAGAACTTCATAGTACAACTCAAATTCATGGAGCAACATTCTGACTATGGAGGGCTGGCTAACACTTAGGATCTATGTCAGATTCTCCTCAATGCCTTGCATATCTCTGCTGGTTCCCACTTGCCCAGGACCTTCAACAAGCGATTACATATACATGTGCTTTCATTGGAGGATGAATTGCCCAAAAAGCAGTCATAGGGCTAATCTGGGATACTCATTTGTGAAACCCGGCTGGTCCATTGCTGACTGGGGTAATCATAGCAGTCACAATTCTTATCACAGAAGCTATAGTAAATTCTGACACATGGGCACGTTTTCCTTTTATTATCCACGTGCTGCTATTTTTCTGGGAAACAAATTCTTTACAGAAAGCACTTACAGAACAGAACTCACATATGACATCGTACAGAGTAGAGCAATGAGTCCTTCTTTACATCCCTGCTGGCAGGGCGTCTGGATTGAGTGCCTGCAATTTTCCTGTATACAGTGAAGGGCTCTGGATTCCTTTATACTTTCTCTTCAAGGCAGAACCAATATTTAGAGGTTTCTGCATTCTCATAATTGTGCTGAAAACCCACTGTGTTATCCTTTAGAAAAGTCCTTATATGTTATAGTTTTTAAAAAGTTACTTCCCCTTAGTAACCATCTCAGTTGACAGTTACCAAAGTGGAATGTTCTGGTGTTTTTAATACTTGATAATCAACTCCACTGAAGGAATAAGAGCTTTGGTTGAGTAATATTGCAGGGAAAAAAAAAAGCATGCTATGATTCAATCCCTTTGCATGACTAGAGAGAAATTTTTGGTCAAACCTTGAAGAAATTATCAACATTTAAAATATTGTTGCTAAAGAGAGAGGAATTATAAGCTGCAAGCAACCAACATAAAATGAATTTTTAAAATGTAACCTAATTGCAAGTTGGGAGCACTGCCACGTGGGACCAAGTCTTAGCTTTTATCCAGGATGGTGTTAAGACAAAGGGCCTGAGGGGCATAATGTAGTTTGCCAAAGATCTTTTTTAAGGTGTTAGTCTGAAAGGAGTAATTTCCAAGCTACATAGCAATTTAGATATTTATGGTGAAATGGAGTGAATGATTGATTCAATAAATTTTTTTCATGGTTTTGAATACAATAATTCTAAACCAAAAGAGGGGAGGGGTAAGACCCAGTGGGAATGGGGAGGAGAGAACTTTTGCAAGTTACACAGACCCCTAGAGGATCCCTGTGTGTACTGGGAGACGTTGTGGGAGAGTGTTTCCCAGGGAAAGGAACAAAGTCAGGCTCCAATATTTTAGAAGGAAAAGGCAATCTCAAATGGCTTCCGTGGTCAAGTAGGTGACATATGTATGAAGCTGCCCTTTCAGGCTACTTTTTGTTTTCCTACATTGATAAAGTCACAGATACAGAGAAATTTTCTCTTCAGCAGGAGAAGTACAGGGATAAGTGTACAGGGAAGTAAGAAGTAAGAAGTACAGGGATAAGAAGTACAGGGAGAGTGACCCAACTGCATAATAATGACCCATAAGAGTGACCCAACTGCACACATTAGAGTGACCCAACTGCATAATAATGTAGATAAGAAAGGGGCAAAGAGACTATTAGGATTCGGAATGTATAACACTAATTAGCTCAGCCAGTTGTTGCCATGTATCTATAGAGGCCAGATCTTCCCATTTTTCAAGAGAATCCAGAAATCCATTTTTTTTTAAGAACCCCCAGGATTTTTTTTTTTATATAATTCACACAACTAAACACTGCAAGCCAAGCAGAGCATATCTGCAGGCCTATTCCAGCCCTTGGGCTACCAGTATCGGAACTCAGGTTTCAAAGTTGGTGCTATTAATTATGAGAAAGGTACTGCTAAACTTGGGCACCCATCAGGCTATCACTGGGTTTCATATGTTGCCTTACTCAACCATTGGCAGTCCTGTGCCAGAGTTTAGCTCATAACATGGAATTAACTACTGAACACCATGTTGACTGCTGACTGAACATGTAGCTTTTGGAAAGACTCTCCTCCACCTTCTGGGTATAACTGCATTGTGCAGTAGCCATCCTGATCATTTCTGTACAAGACAGAAACATCACAGTGAAAAGTAAGAGGTCACACTTCCATAGAAAGTATTTCCCAGTAGGAAAACACTTATAGACTTCATGCTCCCTAAGTGCAAATGTCCCAGGGTCTGTGTAGATAGAAATGAATATGCATGGAATCATTATTGTATTTCTTGGACTAGGCACTTAGTTTGGGAAGATTCTGGGAAACATGCTATTCATTTAATTGTACTAAAGTCACATTTACATTCTGAGAAATCTAAAGATTTTTACTTGAAACATCCGTGAGTTGTGGCTCTATAGCCCCCATAAGCCATGTTCTTCTTTTGCTGAATTTGGAATTCCAATCTTTCCAAATGTCCTTGGTGTGTATTAACATTCCAGAAGCTGCCAGAAAGAAGCTGGGAGAAAGCCTAATAGCTAGATTTGTACTCAAGAACCCTTTTTTTTTTTTAACAAGAAGAATATGTCCATGCCAACACACCACACAATAAAATAGGGATTTGGCATCAATTTTTATTGATTTGGTCAGGATAAGCAGTCAAGCTAGACGTTTCATGCCAGAAAGATGAGTTGGCTTGGCTGGCTTAGCTTGACTAAGTTCACTGGATAATAATTAAACATCACATCTGGTTGTGCTGTGTAGACATAACTAACACCTTCCCCCCACTTCTGAATCTTTTCAGCAAACTTGTGCTTTCTTCTTCTCTCATTCTTTTCCACTCAATCACTTACTTTAGTGTTACCCCAGTTTTCTGTAAGGGAGAGCATAACTTTTGATAGACAATCTCTGTGGAGTTGGGCATACTCTAGGTAAAAGAAATGAGAGAGGAGTATTAACAGTGGCAGGGAAAAGCAGCTGTGTCTAGGGCCAATGATAGGACACACTGAAGGTAGGATTATAAAATGGATGAAATTTATCATGTAACATTCATTCATTTATTAACAACTATTTATTGGGCTCTTATTGTGTCAGACACTGAGCTAGGCATTAGGGGTACAGGTACAAAAAGATATATGTTGGGTATGGAGGAGGGAGCTTCCCCACCCCCATAACTCATACAATAAAATAGGGATTTGAGCCGGGTTCAGTGGCTCAGCCTGTAATCCCAGCATTTTGGGAGACTGAGGTGAGTGGATTGCCCAAGCCCACGGGTTCAAGACCCGCCTGGGCAACTTGGCAAGACATCTCTACAATAAATCAAAAATTAGCTGGGCGTGGTAGCACGTGCCTGTAATTCCAGC